CGGCGCGCGCCATCCGAACGCGGGCGGGCGACGGCACCGGGGACGCCGGGCGGCGGAGGCGCCCGCCGGCAGCCGAGCCCCACTTTGGCCACTCCTGCACCTGGATGGGAAGTTGGGGACGATGGCCCGGCTCTTGCTGCGGTGGACCGCGCTCTTCTGGCTGACAGGTGAGTCGTTCCCCGAGACCGAGAAGTTTACGGGTATTTCCCCAGCGGCCCGGTTCTCGCCCACCCCACCGGCTTCCTCCGTGCCGACTGGGTGTAAAGCCGCTTAGGCCGGCGGTAAGTGGGGGAGGGGACCGCGTGCGTGCGTGTGTGTGTGTGTGTGTGTGTGTGCGCGTGTCGGGATGGAGGAGGCGGGGGAGAAGCCCGAGTCCAAGTGAGGCGATGGAGACGCAGGTGTTTGACTCACTGGCGCGGTGCGGTGGTTCTTCCAAATGCATGTCCCCCTCCATGCCAAGGCTCTCCCTCGGTCTTCCCCCGAGTCCGTAATGCTGTGAGTCCTGGGAAAAGCCCGACTGGGAGGGAAAGTGAAATCCGATTAATTAAGGGAACGGGGTTTCTGGAGGTGGGGGTTGGGGGCAGTTTCCTTAATTCCTTCCCTAACGGAGGAGGGAGACCCTGGGGCCGTCCTCTGTAGCTCCCTGCAGTGCTGCCAGGGGGTCGGAAGGAGGTGGGGTGGAGGCTGGATGGGCTGTGCAGTGAAGGCCCGGCAGTGCGCGGTGTCAGCTGTCATCGAGGGAGTGGGCCCCAGTTAAAGGAGAAGAGAGTGCCTAACAGAATGGACAGACCGACAGTTCCGGGGAATTCAGAGCTGGGGCTTCTCCCAGCACCCGTCGCCAGCACAGCCGGTACTCGCCTCTGTGTTTGCAAACTTTCTCCCATCCTCCTCGGGTCAGGAAAGGCTCTTGTTCCCCAAAAGTTGTCCCATGTGATGATACCCTGTGTGACTAAGGGACAAGTGGCTGGGGGGAGGGGCCGTCCGAGCTTCACAAAGCAGGACCCTCAGGGGGAGGAAGTTTGGAGAGTCTGGCGGGGTCAGAGGCACCCATTCAGGACATGGTGGACAGAGTGGTGCAGGGACTGGATCCTGGAGTCGGACAGGTCGTCAGGACTGGGGGGTCTGAGGACAGCGTCGGGGCAGAGGAGCACAGGAGAGAAGGGGGAAAATTGCAGCACAGCCGGAGAAGTTTGGTCCTCTGCAGGCACCAACCTAGAAGGTCTGGAAAAAATGCAATCAGTAGGAAAAGGGCAGCAGGCTGACTGTGAGGAAGGGTTGCAGACGGGGGAATACGTTTATGAAAGGCAAGTTCTCCATTGCCCCAGCTCCAATAGGAGTGTGGACGCTGACTGTGAGGAAGGGTCGTGGACAGGGGGAATGCGTTTATGAAAGGCAAGTACTCCATTGCCCCAGCTCCAATAGGAGTGTGGATCACAGGAGTTTCTTCCCGATGCACAGGGAGGGGGGCCCGCGTTCCTGGGCTCGGTCAGGGCGCCCTGGGCAGCACTGGCTCTCCGGCTGCTGTGAGTTCATCCCACCCGCATTATTCAGATGTGAATCATCTCTAATTCCAGGCTTTGGCTGATCCGCCTCCCCCTCCCCTGGCCTCCCAGCCTTGCTCCCCTTCCACCTCGCTGACTCAGGACGGCCTTCAGGGCCCTCTACTTCTCAGGCATGTAGATGAGGTCACCGCCTCCCGCTCCTAGGTGTCAGGCTAGGCTCCATGGTGCTCTTCCAGAAGGAAGCACTCTGGGGTGCACGGAGCAGGAGAAGAAGGGGACAGGTAGCCCTCTCCAGAGCAGAGCTTTTTATAACATGACATGGAGTGGTGTTACTGGAGGGGACCACAGAGCTGGAGTTGGCCCCCCCGGGTTTATAGAAGGCCGGAGAGGCGGTGTACACAGGCAGCACCCCTTCTCCCAAGCCCTGCACCAGCCCTGTGTGGAGGCGCTGAAGCGCCTCTCTGGGCTCTTTGCTTTATTTGTGTTGTGAGGGAGGTTCTGCCATCTGTACTTGGAGAGGCCGCTCCGGTTTGGAAGCAGGCAACAGGTTAGTTATCAGGCCACCTCAGCTGGCAGCTGGCGGGGCTGCTTTGCTCGGAGGTCCAATGACACAGTGGCACCCCAGCTGGACGCTCGCTTCCCCCTCACCCTGCCACAGCTGTCAGAGGTGCTCTGGACAAGCTGCCTCTCAGCCTGCGCAAAACACAGGAGCAACAATGGCGGCTGGGGGGGGGGGGGGGGGGGGCTGGGGAGGGGGCGGGAGGAGAGGAGAGGAGAGGAGAGGAGAGGAGAGGAGGGCCGAGGATGAGCTGGAGTCAGACTGACTCTTCACTGAGGAAGGAGGAGAGGAGAGGTAAGACGTTTCAGTCCAGCCCAATCAATGAGTTCTCTCTTGAGGGGGTGGCAGGAAGGGAGGGGAAAGGAAAGGACAGATTAGAGACTCAGAGCTGGGGGAAAAGAACACATTCATTCCTTTTCCCTCCCTTTCCCCGTCTTCCTCCCCCTCCCTGTGTCTCTCCTTCTGTGCTGGCTGAGCAATTTCTAATCAACACTTGGGGCTTTTCCCTTAAGCTCCAGCGGCTCCTTCCTCCTCTTTCCTTGCTAAAATCCCGCGTTTCTTTCTGCTGTATATTTAGCCTCATCATTTCTTATTGTCATCGTGATGTTGCTTCCTGTAATAGTTGGGTCTTGTTCTCGTTGTTGTTGCAGACAGAACGAATGCTTTCCAGCTGCGGTTCTAGCAACAGGTGCCTGGAGCAGGAAGACCGGAAGGAGGGTCCTCGCTCTTTGTTCCTGAATGGGGGTGGCCTTTATCCTTCGCTGGCAGCAGAGGTGTGGGACACGCCGGGCTCCCACCCCGGGAGCGTGTCCTCAGAGCCAGCGATGTGTTCTCCTGGAGACGTTTTGGGGGGGCTCTGCCATGACGATTGCTTGCTCTCAGCTTTTGTCTTGCTACCTTCTGGTTCTGTTCCTCCACTCATCCGTTTACAAGCGCGAACCCGGTTGCCCTGATTGCTAAGTGTCATGAGAGGTGCTGAGAGCAAACAGCTGAGAGACTTGTCTTTGCCTCAAAGACTTACACGTCTAGTCGGAGACTCGAGCGGGTTGTCGAGTATTCTGACATGGTCAGTGGTTGGAGGTTCTGGGGTGCTGTGAGAGCGTCTTCTCTCAACACTTTTATCACAGCTGTCCCCACTCCCACACTCCTGCAGCCTGCACGCTTCTCTGTGGACTCGGAAGGGGGGTTGTTCAGTGTCCTCTTCATTCTTCGCAGCTCAGCACATGATTCTGCTGGGGGGCCTAGTTCATACGGGCTTGAGTGTTACCTCAGCCCCCACCGGGGCCGGGGTGGAGCATCTTGGATGGAGTTCCCGGAGGTGATAGCTGGGTTCAGACATTTCTGCCCGTGACTGAGTTACTGCCATGTCCCAGGCCTTGGGCTGGGAGTAATAGGGTAAATAAGGTGAATCCTGTTGCTGAGGGAGGCCACAGAAAGTCAGGTTCTGCTACTCCATGGATAGAAACAGAGGCCCCAAGAGGCCTCTGAGTTGAATGTAACCTTAGAACTCGCCCCTTCAACCTGTTAGAAGACCGCGGTACAGAGGCCAGGTGTGCGGTGGTAACCCACCTGGGCCATGTGGGGAAGGTCCAGGGTTAGCATCCGGGGACCTCCTTGAGCACACTGGGCCCACGCATTCTCATGAGCCAGGCTGGCTGAGGCTGGGGTAGGTTGTCACAGAAAGACCATGTTGGGGTGCCTCTCTTTGTCTCTCTCATCAAAGAAGAATTAAATAAACCTAAGGGTAAAAAAAGCATGCCCATGGCTATACAGTGACTTATGAAGAAACTGGGTCTCGAAGCCAATTCTCAACAATCAGGTTTGGGTTCCTTCCACTAGCCGAGCTGCAGAACTGCTGCTGCTAACATACTAAACATTAGTACTCACGAAGACCTCTCGCGTGGTGTTGGCGTGGTGCTTGCACCCAGACTCCTCGTGTTAACACTCAGGTCTGTGTAAACCAGCCACCCAGCAGAACCACGTGACGAGTTGTCCGATCTGGTGGTAGAGACACCAGTGAAGGGACTCTGAACAGTTATGGAGCATCGTACAAAAGCACTTCGTATTGTGGGGTGCCTTCCAGGGGCTCCTGGCCTGGCTGCAGAGCACAGGGAGGTGTCAGGGAATGGTCTCTGCCTCGTCCTGTCTCCACTCAGGGACGTGCGTGGGGACCGTGTGAGGACAGGCTTGAGTATGAGAGTTGAAGTGTCACTAGTTCTGCAGAAGGAGAGTTGCTTTTAGAGATTGCTGACGCCTTCACTTCCATTGTCTCTGTTCTTGTCCTGTACACCTTCCAATTTCCCTCCCGCTCTGTTCTACTTTCCTGCATGGAAGTGACCTTGTTCATAGCAGAGCGTCTTCTCTCGACACTTTTATCACAGCTGTCCCCACTCCCACACTCCCTCAGCCTGGACGCTTCTCTGTGGACTCGGAAAGGGGGGTTGTTCAGTGTCCTCTTTCTTCTTTACAGTTCAGACACATGGTTCTGCTGGGAGGCTAGTTCGTACGGCTCGAGTGCTACGTCTGGGGGTCTTAGTGCGAACACCGTGCTGACTGTGCTAGCAGCCTTCGAGCGAGTGTGGGACGGCCAGGCAGTGTGAGGAGTCCCGGTCCTGTGACTTGGTTAGTGGAAAGAACCCTCACCTGGGGAATCAAGGAGTCGAGATTTCTTTGTCCGGACCACTCCTCCCCTCATGACAGAGAGAGA